TCATAGCCTCGCTGGTGGTCGCAGTACTTCGCAATCCCCATCACCACCTCATACAGATCTTCAGCAGCCAGGAATTATCACTATACTGGATATTGAGGTGTGTTTTATTTATTCATTTTAAACTTTTCTGAAAGAGTTATTTGTGCGTAACTCTTAAAGCATCAAAAGCAATCACTCATCAATTATACATCTAATTGATAATATGTAATAATGAGCAATATAGAGAATGTATTATAATAATCTAAATTTAAAAAAAAACAAATAATTAAACAAATTAAGCTAATTAACTATAAATATCTATATAATATTATATTATATAATATGCAATATTTTATTTTAATAAAATATGTATCTAAAAAAAAAAGGGTGCGTGTACTTATGTACGCGCGTAAGAAGTTATACTTCTTTGGCTTTCTTTATTTTTTTTAAATATTAAATAATAAATAACAAATATCTAACGTTAATAATTTAATAATATTTAATATTTAGTATATTATTCAATTATTAATTAATATTAATAATAATAATCATTATTATTTATTATTTTATTCATTCAATTTAATAACTACGTATGTTTCATAACCTTTTAACTAAGTAACAATAGGTCTTTGTGAAAAAGCATTGCTAAATTTCTTTGAAAAAATAATTAAAACTCCTTTATTTGTTTAAAAGGTAAATGTCATTATGTTTATTCAAAATTCTTGGCATAGCTGCTAACTTCACGCATATTCTATTTATTTTTACTTGTAGATTGTCTTATTCCCATCTCGCTCGCGCACGCTATAATCACACTGACAACTTTGAGTCTCAGGTGCGCGCGCATCGTAAAATTTCACTCTCATCAATTTTTCATAACGCGCCTAAAGAAGAAGTATAACTTCAAAAATTCAGTAAAACATATGTTACGTATATTTTACTGAATAATGTTTATTTTATTCGGTGCTAAACTGGTTTGAAATCCATTTATCGGCGTAAAAGAAAAAAAAACCCTCACATTAAAGCTTACTTATGTTACAGGGTAACGAGGATGAAGATAGCCAAGATTGCGAAGACCCATGCGACCCAATCGTAGCTCACTTCATAGCACACTCAGAAGCAATAATAGCCCTCAAGTTTGATCCAAGTGGCATGTTATTAGTGACTGCTGATAAGCGAGGACACGATTTTCACGTCTTCAGAATCAACCCCCATCCGTGTGGACCTACGTTGGCTTCTGTACACCATCTCTATGTATTGCATAGAGGTGATACTACGGCAAAAGTTCAGGTAACATTACTAGACCGTATATGTGTATATAAAATGTATCCTTCACAGAAACTTAGAAAAAGTACTGACCAGTAGTTTAACAGTGTGATCTGGCACTCGCTACCAAAAACCATAATGAAGTCATCTAAGGACGAAACCCAATTAGTATTTAGTTCTTTCGTTATCTAAAACGTAACAAAATAGTTATTGGTATGAAAACTCAATATCTTTGTTTTATTTGCTTATTAATATTTCCAGTCTTGATAACGAATCTAGGGAGGGAACTAAAATATTAAGAGTTGATCATTATTTTGATGCAAATGGAATTTAATTTGTACTATACACCATTCAACAAGGGACATAGTAGCCTATCAGGCACGCAATCAGATAAATCTGTGGCCGAGAAACTAGACAGCAAGGGAGTTTTAAATCTCGCCTTTCCTAAAATGGGACTTTATTTGCTTGATCTTCGGTGGGCTTGGGGTCGCGCAGGGTTTTTATTGTTTACATAACCCAGACTAATAAAAAAAAAGGGTGCGTGTACTTATGTACGCGCGTAAGAAGTTTTACTTCTTTGGCATTATTAAAAATAGTTTTTGATTGCATGCAAATAATTAATTACAATTAAATAATCAAAGACTGGAAAAAGAGTCATTATAGTCAATAAAGTTCAGTTTATATTTGAAAAATTAAATAAATAAATATTTATTAACCCTTAATTTGATAATATAATATTATTATATAATATATTATATTTATTATTATTTTTTAATATTAATTAGTATTGATTTAAATGTTCAATTTAAATCACTTCTGATTATCATTCAGACGCACATATAAAATTCGCACTTGTATAATGAAAACAAAATGAAAACACGTGTTTTAAATGTAGAAACTCAAAGCATGTGGATAAATATTATAAATATAAATACACAGTGAACAGAGGCGGCGTGCGTGCCAACATGCGCCACTAACTTCATTCTGTTAATTTTGTGTCACGGTGCGCGCGCATCGTAAAATTTCACTCTCATAAATTTTTCATAACGCGCCTAAAGAAGTATAACTTCAAAAAGAGTCGTAATTGCAAATCGTAGACTCTCGTACTCTCTAAATGTAATTTCGACTTTGAATTTATATTTCAAAAATGTATTAATATAAATTATAACAGTGGATCTATCTAGTTTTAAACACTCACAGGATATAGCAATATCGGGTGATTCCCGTTGGACGGCGATCTCAACCCTCCGCGGTACAACTCACGTGTTTGCACTGAGTCCGTACGGCGGTGCGTGCGCAGTACGTACACATTCGCAGCCGAGGGTCGTTAATAGATTGTCTCGATTCCATAGATCTGCTGGTCTGCCTATACACGCCTCACATGCTGTGAGTATATTATCTTTAATATAGATTATAATATAATGTAGTCAATAAATTAAATATAAACAAGCATTTTGTCTGTTAAATTGTTTTTGGATATAGTAGTTGATAGACATAAACTGCTCTTTTGGAACATAAATTCTTCATATTGTAATTATTTTTGTGGGGAAACGTTTTTTTTTAATATTTATCTTTTTAGTCACCTTTGGTCTAGAAATAAAGTGCATTTTCTCCGTGAAAGTATATTCAATTAATATAGGTGATGGAGGGTTCAGCACTTGGTTCGTGGTATCCCAACCCGCGACTGCCGCCATACCCTCATCCTACAACGTCACCACCACTGGCCCAGTTGAGACCCACTCACAATCTACCCACACATACCATCACACGCAACAGCTCTGGTTAGTATGTAGTTATTATGTACTTGACAGGAATCGTTGCATATTTATGTTAAAAAAATCATGGCGTTTAATATATACCGTGTACCGACGAATGTTGTCCTGTAGACACGTTTTAAATACCTAAAAAAACACATCAATATTAGTCCAGCCGATTTGTTTGTTTTTCTTTGTGTCATTCTATAAATCCTGGAAGAAATCAATTATTAGCGAGAATGCGGCCTTTAGATTTGTGAGAGGCCAAAGAAATACGTTTTAATACAGCTTATGTAGTCTTATCCCATAAACCTAATAAAAGCCTCAAATAGCTATGAAAAAAAATAATAACCTCTATAATAGGCCGCCAGCGTCTATCATCGCTTTCCGAAGAGAGCGGCGCTCCACCCCTTCTCGGCCGTGCCTGGTTCGGTACAACAGTACCGTCAGCTAGCGGTCGCGGATGTGCAGTGCCTCTTTACCTGATGGCTGCCAATGGGTCGCTGTTGCATCTCCTACTGCATCCAAGGCCAGCTAGATGTGAGTCCTTTTAAAGAATTCAATAATATATTTTGAAAAAGATGTTTGTTGATCATAATTAGACTATTAAAAGTGTTAAATTATTAATAAACAATTAATTTTTATTAATTATATCGATTAACATTAATATGTACATATTCTTCATATGAAAATCTAGTAGTATATTATACGTATATATCTACTATACCTATTCTTATTAATTAACCTCTAAAAATGCTGTGTCTGTTAATAAAAACTAATGTCATTATCAGCTGTTCCGAAAGAGAAGATCTGTGACGAGTCACCAATAGAGCTAGAGGTAGAACCGGTGGCTCAATGGATGCTGCAGCGTCCCGCGGCTGCTGCTGATCTTTTGGCACCTCTCCCTCCTTCCAACCCACTTCTACAACCTCTCAGTTGCCGGGTGAGTAAATTTCATTGCCCCATCTAAATACTTAAATGAGTATATTGTTTAAAGTTTTGAGACCTTCCAATGGGGCAGACACATTTTGCGTCTGTTTTATGAGTTTTTTGCGATGAGGTTCTGAGTTAAATTGACGCAAACTTGACCTCCGAAACAATAAAACTAAAAGAAAAGAGACCCAGGCTGATCTTGGAACTCGCTTCACGTCGATATAATTTTTTGACATCTCCTTTTGTCTTAAGGTACGCGAGAGGCGAGCACCATATAATAATTAGATTAAAGTTCTAACGGCTAGTAAGGAAAGTAATAGGACACATTTATATTTTCAAAAGAAGCTTCACTAGCATTGGCTATTAAAGCTATAATTGCTATTGAACAAAGTTTGAAAGTGAATAGAACCAGATACAGTTAATGAAAAAGAAGAAAAGTTTATTTTTTATGTATCTTTTTTTAGTTTAACTTTTTAGTTCCTGTTTTAGTATTGTCTTAATAACTATATGTATTATGTATTTTTGCACTTCTTGCTTACCTTATCTAATTTAATACAATTTTTTTGGAAGAGATCGCTCGAAAGCGATAAGGCCGCCAGTTGCCCTCCTTTTAATTTAATTATGTTCAATTTTTATTATGTTAATAAATAAAATTCAAGTAATTAAATGTATGAGAATTTTAGCGAAAACCAAACTTCTGCGTTCGAAAGGTTAGCGTGAACTCATTCGTGGTGGTCGTTGACTGACGAACAGTTTTTATACTGATTTTTTGACGTAAACGTATAAACTAATTTACTCTTAAACTACATTTTGCGTCGTTCTGTAAACGTCGTGCGTTGTTTGAACTGTCAAAAACTATATCTTACTCCATCGACATTATCTGTAAAAGAGAAAAAATATTGGAATTCTACTATATCTTTCTCTATCGGCTACAATGTGTGCAAAAGAGAAAATTTAGTCGAATTCAACTATATCTTTCTCTGTCGGCTACAATGTGTGAAAAAGAGAAAATCTTGTGGAATTCAACTACATATATCTTACTTTGTCAGCTACAATATGTGCAAAAGAGAAAACCTAGTCGAATTCAACTATATCTTTCTCTGTCTCATTATACATGTTACATTATACGGCTAACAAGGTAAACTGCCTAAACTCGACAAGTTTTAAAGGGACATTGACTGCAATTCAAGTAATATTTTTTTTACAGCGATGTGCAGATATGTGTATGAGTGAAGAGGAGCGTTGGCTGTCCCAAGTGGAAATCGTGACTCACGCTGGACCACATCGGAGGCTCTGGATGGGACCGCAGTTTGTATTCAAGACCTACAATTGCGGGTATGTAACAACGTCATCTCTTGCTCCATTTTGGAACTATAGAGAATGTAATGGATGAATCATTTGTTATTTTGTCTTCATATAAAATTTTAAATTTTATTCTAAATCCTAAAACCGATACTTGAGATAAATGATATAAAATAATAATTTATATTCTTTATTTATTTATAAATTTATAGCGGCCTGTCCCGGCTTCGCAAGGGTTGACATTTATTTTTCAAACATTTTTTGTAGACATTAATATGTTATTTAATATTGTGTAACATTTTTGTTCTATCATCAATAGTTTTCGCAGCGCATGCGATGAAAGATATATTAAAGGCATTTTTTTTATACCTCGGGTAACATTATTGTAGTTTTAGTAGGGATCCTTAGTTTTTCTTGCGATTAAAATAACCTATATTAATCAGTGTTCAGTGATAATGAAGTACTTTTTGAGCCAATTCGTTACAAACATACTTACATACAAATCTTTCCTCTTTATAATATAAGTATAAATTAGTATAGATATACTGCTTTGTCTTTTAATTATCACAACCTTTAAAAAGTGAGTGGGCTAGCATAACATTTTCGGTAGCGTAGAATTACTATGAATTGAATCAAGTATACAAATACGTTGTATTAATTCGTATAATTTATATTAGACAATCAATTGCTTTATGTGGATTGTTTAGTCTATATTATATGGGAATTAAATTATTTTAAGAGCAGCCTATTGGCTATGTCGTAGATCGGCTATGTATTTGGGAGCGTTCAAGTATTACGTCACGCAGTTTTTGGAGATTATTGACCCCCAAACCCCAATGAACGCCGTAACGTTTTTCTAAACACATGTATAGTAAAACGTTTCGTGACCACCTAGTGACTCTTTATACCTAAAAGTTACCATTATGTACTATGTAAAGTACTCGAAAGTCGAAAATAATATTAACAATAACGCTTAATTCAATCCCCGTCCCGCATCGTAACGTTTTACAAAAGGACCTCCCCCCCCAAAACTCGTTACGTAATACTTGAACGCTGCCTTTAACACTCGCATGTACGGTGAAGAAAAACATTGTGAGGGAACCATGCCTTAGATTCAATTAGTCGACTGCGTGTCTCAGGCACAGAAGGCTGATCACCTACTTGCCTATTAAACAATGATCAGGAAACAAATACAGAAATCTGAGGCCCAGACCTAAAAGGTTGTAGTGCTACTGATTTTTCTGATCTTACATTCGAGATATACAATTACTAGTGCAGTATTGAACTCAATTACAAAAGTCAACGATGTTCCGTTATTATTATTATCGCGTCAACGTAGTTATTAGGTTATGTAAGAACCGTTTTAAGCTTTTCATATAGATACGTTTCAGCTATGAGAAATAAATACATTTAAATAATTAAATAGTAAACAGTTAATATCGCACTCATATTATTACGGGTTTCCGTCCGTTATTCTTATTGCTTCGTCTCTGTTACACGCTTGACAATGTCATCTGTATTAGAGAGAGATGTAGCGAGTATGATGATGGGTGAGTTTTGTTATAGTTTTTACAGAGAGAAATGTAAAATTTAGTTTTGTGTTTTGAGAGAATACCTGAAGATGTTGGGCGGACATGTGATTCTTATTCAACAAGAAATAATTATTTTAAAAAAATGTTTGCTAGAAGCGAATACGCGCACGGTCGTACTAATTTGCCCGTTGAAATTTGTGGTAATATATTTCTATCTCAAAGTTAAATGTTATGAATTAAAAGTGCCCCAATCAGCTTGGGGGTATTTTTTAGTTCATTTTATTAATTTTCTATTTCAGATCAAACTCATCCCTATCGGAAGCTGAAGCCGTTGAAGTTGACACCAGCGCTTGCGTAGGGGCTGCTCGTTCGAACCCCGTAAACATGCCCGGCGTCAGACCCATTGTGCCGGTACTCATCGAATCCGGTTCAGCCAGTAAGTATATCAAAAAGCAGGAGATACTTTAAAAACTTAATACTTGTACTAGATAAAGAGCGAGCGTATTAACTGGGCATGCACGTCGTGCGTAAATGATGAAGTGGATAGGAATAGGAAAACTACCACATTTTATAAACTATTTTAATATAAAATTATTTATTCTACCGTTAGTATTATTTTAGTAGGATTATGTATTATATTGTTACGAGCTACGGGATCGGATAGAAACGCCGTAAATCTCTTCAAGGGTTTATTTTCAATTAAATCTACGAGGAATTTGTTAACACTATAAACTTGAAATTACGCACAAAAATTCACTAAATACACACACAAAATACTGTCACTAATTACTCTAATATCACGCACTTCACACAGTACTTGTATTCACTTTTCTTCACTATATTCGCACTTTGTCACTCCGGTGTTTATCGCTTGGTATCGCATTCAAAACTGAACTAATCGGTCGCGTTTCGGCTCGCTTATATATCCCTGGGAGCGATGTTCGAGAACTCTCTAGGCGGCGGCGCAACTGAGTAGCGATCGCACAATTCTAGAACGTGCGTACTAGCTATCCCTTTCGCACATTGCTCCGTCCTTGTCGTACGGCGTTCTAGAGTGCTCGGTCTAGCTTCGAGAAGGTTCCGATCTTCCTTCTCTCTCGCGTATCGTTCCGTCCTTGTCCCACACCTAGAAAATTCGTTCTAGAACATTCCTTCATCAAAGGGGTATAACCAGACCTGAAAACGCCTGAAAACGGGTTTCCTGAAAAGTGTACCATTCGACTACACGTGTTCTGAAACGGCCTGAAAAAATGTTTCAGGCTCCTGAAAACTAGGGTGACATTATGTAAATTACGATTTTCTGATATGTGATTGACCCTCTCCTGAAACGGTCAGAAATCACATTTCAGCCTGCTGAAAACTTCTCTAACTAGTGGAAAAATCTAAAAACATTGCAGTCGACCCGTCTTCGTAACACTACCCCCTCCTTAGACATGCTCGTCCCGAGCATCATTACTTCCTTTATAGGGAGCCAATCGATTTATGTGAACGACTTTCGGTTTGCTCCTTAAACCACTCATTTTCTTAATCCGGTAAGTAACGTCATTAATCTTCGTGACTATCGTGTATGGACCGTCCCAGTCAGCTTGAAGCTTTGGTGATTTGCCTTTGCGTTTTGTTGGGTTATGGAGCCATACTTGCGAGCCTTCTTTAAATTCTATGTGATTCGTCTTCCTGTCATACCTAATCTTCGTAGTCTCACTTATTTTGCTTTGTGATGCTCGTACGTGTTCATGAATTTCATACAGTCTATTACGCAGATCCGCAGCATATTCTGTAACACTCTCCGGAGTGTCAGGTGGTCGTCCCGTTACAATGTCTGCTGGTAATCTAAGTTGTCTCCCAAACATGGCTAAAGCAGGTGTTACATTCGTGGTTTCATGAACCGCAGACCGGTATGACATTAAAAATAATGGAATATACTTGTCCCAGTCTTTTTGATGGCTGTCCACCAGTTTTGCTAAGTGCCTTTCCAAGGTTTGATTAAAGCGTTCCACCATTCCATCTGACTGTGGGTGATATGGAGTAGTCCGCGTCTTATGAATTCCCATTAGTCGGCATACTTCTTGAAACAATAAAGACTCAAAATTTCTTCCCTGATCACTGTGAATCTCCAAGGGTACTCCGAATCTAGAGAATACGTCATTTACAAGTATCTCAGCTACTGTAACTGCCTCTTGATTGGGAATAGCGAACAAACTCAAACTCAAACTCAAAATATCTTTATTCAAGTAGGTAACCAAGTACACTTTTGAATCGTCAAGTCACTTCGGGCCACTTCGTAAAGTAATCCATAACAACCATGATGTACTTATTTCCTTTTTCTGTTATCGGAAATGGTCCAGCTATGTCAACGGCTATCCTCTCCCATGGAGCTCCGACATTGTATTGCTTCATACCAGCTCTAGTTCTCGTCTGTGGGCCTTTGACTGCTGCACAAGCCTTACATTTCCGAATCCAGTCTTCCACATCTTCACGGCAATGTATCCAATAAAATCTCTCTTTAATTTTCAGAAGAGTCCTTTTTACTCCTAAGTGTCCGCCCGATGAGCCATCATGAAACATTTCCAAGATGTTGCGAACCTTGGATCTTGGCACAACTAACTGTAGATGAGATGCATCCCCTCGAGTGTTTTCCCATTTGCGACATAACACTCCATTATGAAGAACTAAGCTATCCCATTGAGCCCAGTAACTCTTGGTCGTGGTGCTAGTAGATGCAACATCATTCCACCGCGGCTTGATAGCTGAAGATTTCATCCAGTCCAGAATTGGTTTAATGTCAGAATCTTGTTGTTGCTCTTCCTGAATTAATTTCCCACACCAATCTGGACTAATGGTGTCTGTCCTTAGTATCCTTACATGGGCTACCTCTCTACCTTCGTGTCTTGTACAATGTTTGCAATCCTCCTCACATGGCCTTCGAGACAATGCATCTGCGTTCCCGTGGGCTCTGCCTTTGCGATGTTCAGTAGCAAAGTCATACTCTTGCAGTTGTTCGATCCATCGAGCCACTTGTCCTTCCGGATTCTTGAACTGAAGTAGCCATTTTAATGCAGCATGATCTGTCCTAAGACGGAACTTGCGACCTAGCAAGTATTTACTGAAGTGCTGCAGCGTCTTCACAACAGCCAGTAGTTCCCTCCGAGTGACACAGTAGTTCCGTTCTGGTTTCGACAACGACTTGCTGAAGTAGGCTATTACTTGCTCGTGCTCACCTTTTACTTGTGATAGTACACCTCCAATGCCAATTCCACTGGCATCTGTATCTACCACATATTCACCATCTTGATCCGGGTAGCCTAGTATTGGAGTCTCACACAGTCGGTTCTTGAGCTCATTAAACGCATCTTCACACTCTCCATCCCATTTGAATTTCCTCTTCTGTTCGGTGAGTCTGTGAAGTGGTTTTGCAATATCCGCGAAATTTCTCACAAATCTTCGGTAGTAAGAACATAAGCCTAAGAAAGCGCGGACTTCAGTTTTATCTTTAGGCACTGGCCAATCCTTCACCGCAACTATCTTCTCAGGGTCTGTTCGAACTCCATCCTCTGATATAATGTGCCCCAAGTAGCTCACTGCTCTCTTGAAAAATAAACATTTCTTCGCACTTAGTTTCAGGTTGGCTTTATGCAGTCTGGAGAGCACCCGTTGCAGATTTCGTATGTGATCATCAAAATCCTTCCCAATGATGACTACATCATCCAAGTACACTAAGCAGGCTTCTCCTATCAGTCCTGACAGTACCTTTTCCATTAGTCTTTCAAAGGTGGCAGGTGCATTGCAAAGCCCAAACGGCATAACTTTAAACTGCCATAGTCCTTTACCAGTTGAGAACGCTGTTTTCTCTTTATGACTTGGGTCTATTTCCACTTGCCAGTACCCACTTTTCAAGTCTAAAGTTGTAAACCATTTTGCCCCACTTAAGGTATCCAAGGTGTCATCTATTCTAGGTAACGGATAACTGTCCTTCTTCGTGATATCGTTAAGACGACGGTAGTCGACGCAGAACCTTAAACTGTTATCCTTTTTCTTGACTAAAACTACTGGAGAGCACCAAGGGCTGGAAGATGCTTCAATAACATTATGGTTTGACATTTCTGCAATCATCTTATCTATATTCTTTTCATATGCGACAGGTACTCGTCGCGGTCTTAAACGTATAGGTGCTTCGGTTCCAGTCTCAATTCGATGTTTAACTACACCTGTCCTTCCTAGATCTCCATCGTGTGTAGCAAACATGTCAGAAAATGTTTTTAATAGTCCCTTTGCTTTCGACATTTCTTCCCTCGTCAAGGTTTCCTTACAGTCCTCCAGTATCGCTTGAACTATATCTCGTTGTTTACTAACTGTACCATCTTCAATGATAGCTCTATACACGTCGTACCCGTTCTTCAATGTGTTATCTTTTAGGGAAACTACTTCATCTCTACAATTGAATGTGCCGTTCTTCAGGTCAATCTTACAGTTGTAATGCTTCATGAAGTCTAAACCGATAATACAGTCATCCACGATGTCAGCAATAACCACCTCATGTCTGTATGTTCTTCCACCAATCTTGAAGGTAGCGATACCTTCTCCTCGAACGGTTATGTGCTGACCAGTAGCTGTAAGGAGCTGTACATTTCCACCAGAAAGGCTCTTGTAAAATGACTTCAGAAGTTGGTATCTGATTACTGTCCGGGAAGCTCCAGTATCAAGGGTTAACTCACACCTAGTGCCGTTAACTTCTCCGTCGATGACAATGGTATTCCCATCCTGAGTTTGAGAGATCATAACTTTTGGGGCCTTCCTTACAGAACCGGCCAGCACCCGCCCCGTGGTCCTGGCTTCTATTCGTTTCCCTGCCGCTGTTCAGCGGCAGTCACATCCACGTCATCGGGCTCCCCACGTCTTGTCTTCATTTCACTTCGGAGATCTCTCTTAGGGCATGAAAACCTCATATGCCCTACTTCCCCGCAGAGGTAACAGGTGGGTCCACGTTGGGAACTACGTTTTTCCGAGACAGCCCTAATGCGGTTAGGTCGAGAATCCTTGCAAAATGCTTCCACTTCCAACGCATGAGCGAGAGCATTCTTGAGGTCCTTATGGTGACCTAGGTTCACAGCCATTCGAATTTCACGGTCTCGAATACCGTCGACGAAGGCTTGAACCAACATCTTGTCTGCAACGTCTGGTGAGGATGCATAGGCTTTCCTAACCAGCTTCTCTATTTCACATCCCCATTTCTGCAAACTTTCATTTGTCTGCTGTATTCTATCCTTTAATTGAGCCCTATAGACGTGCTCTAAATGTGCGTCTCCGTACCGTGATTCTAGGGAATCCAGCAGTTGCTTCAACGTCACTTTACCTGTCTTGGTATCTAATATGGTGAGGGCTTCATCTCGCAGTCCCATAATAAGGGCGGTGACAGCCTGATCGTCATTCCACCCGTTTGACTCTGCCACAGTCTCAAACTGTATTTTGTACGCGCCCCAGGAAGATGTACCGTCAAAGGGAGGTACTTTCAGATTTCCAGATGGTGCTACAGTCGTTACGACACCTTTGGTCTTCAGGCACTGCATCTCTTGTTCTAATCCGAGAATACGTTTGTCCTGTTTCGAAAATTTGCAGTCCATATCAGATTCCAAGTTCTCGATTTTTTTATCTACTTCTTGTTTTAGGTCTCCTAATCTTTCTCCGATACGGCAAGCCTGTTCCTCCATCAAACGACGTGTCTGAGCCTGCTCTTCCACGATTTGGCGTGCCTGTTCCTCTTGACGGCGAGCCTGTTCCTCCATCAATCGCCGAACCTGTTCCTCCTGATGACGGGCCTGTTCCTCTTGACGTCGTGCCTGTTCTTCCATCATTTGTCGTGCCTGTTCCTCTTGACGACGTGCCTGTTCATCCATCATACGACGTGTCTGAGCCTGTTCTTCCATCATTTGGCGCAGGGCAAGGAGGATGTTGCTATCGTTGCTTTCGCCCATCCCGCGGTTCGCATCGAAACTTTGTCGCCGGGCGGCGTCGCGTGCTGATTGTGCCCTTGTCTGCACTCCCTCCGCAGCTGGAGACTCGGCCACAAACTCCTCTTGATTCTCCCTCGGAGTAATTGGCATTTTTCTATCCCACTTCTGACACCAAAATGTTACGAGCTACGGGATCGGATAGAAACGCCGTAAATCTCTTCAAGGGTTTATTTTCAATTAAATCTACGAGGAATTTGTTAACACTATAAACTTGAAATTACGCACAAAAATTCACTAAATACACACACAAAATACTGTCACTAATTACTCTAATATCACGCACTTCACACAGTACTTGTATTCACTTTTCTTCACTATATTCGCACTTTGTCACTCCGGTGTTTATCGCTTGGTATCGCATTCAAAACTGAACTAATCGGTCGCGTTTCGGCTCGCTTATATATCCCTGGGAGCGATGTTCGAGAACTCTCTAGGCGGCGGCGCAACTGAGTAGCGATCGCACAATTCTAGAACGTGCGTACTAGCTATCCCTTTCGCACATTGCTCCGTCCTTGTCGTACGGCGTTCTAGAGTGCTCGGTCTAGCTTCGAGAAGGTTCCGATCTTCCCTCTCTCTCGCGTATCACTCCGTCCTTGTCCCACACCTAGAAAATTCGTTCTAGAACATTCCTTCATCAAAGGGGTATAACCAGGCCTGAAAACGCCTGAAAACGGGTTTCCTGAAAAGTGTACCATTCGACTACACGTGTTCTGAAACGGCCTGAAAAAATGTTTCAGGCTCCTGAAAACTAGGGTGACATTATGTAAATTACGATTTTCTGATATGTGATTGACCCTCTCCTGAAACGGTCAGAAATCACATTTCAGCCTGCTGAAAACTTCTCTAACTAGTGGAAAAATCTAAAAACATTGCAGTCGACCCGTCTTCGTAACAATATAAATATTTCAGGTTCGTTAGAGCATTCACCATCTGACAGTTTTCGTCGCAAATCGCTGTTAGCCGACGGAGGTAGGACCGCTGTATGTGATGTGCAGCTCAAAGAAGATCTCGCTGAGGCCATGAAGGAAGACCATGGTACGTACTTCATTAAGACTTATATCATTATTCCAAAATATATAATTCTAATGGAACTAAAATTCTTTAACGTATTTATTTATTTATATTTTTGAATGGAAATAAGAATGGAAGGCAAGGCAAGCGTGCTGTTTGATTAAACAATAATACTTCATTTATAATGTATGGAGTGAAATAGAATTGTGCACCAAGTCAACCATTGGTCATGTTGGTCTTCCGGCCATCTGTTTTCTGAAGGGTAACACGTAGTTCTCAGGTTTTTTCGAAAATCGTATACTTCAAATTTAGAGCTAGACGTGCACGTTTCTAACGAACTAGGTACATTTAGGTACCAAAAAAATGCCATTTAATACATTTAATTCAAACTTTTATTGGTTAAATACTACGAATGGTGGTAGTGTTTGCTTACTAAAACGTATAAAACATTGAATTACGACATTTACCTTTTACAAATATGACGATATTTGTAAAAGGTGAACGTTATTCGTCACATAAGCGTGAATGAATTTCAACCAGGGGGCCTACCATGAACTCTTATTGCGAGCCTATTGACAACCTACAACTGAGATGCATCGCTAATTCGTACCATGACATCGAAAAAACGAGACAGTTTATGTTCCCACGTGACCTTAGCGATTATCAGATTTCGTTCGTTCAATTTGTATGAAAATCCGTACCATGACCGCTCGGCTGAACCGAAATTTGACAGTCGCGCCTTCCAACTATGACAGAATAAGCGATTCTAAAAAAGTTACTTTTTGTTCAACTTTTTTGTATCGAAATGTCCAAATAATAGTTTAGAACCTATAAAATTCAATATTTGTATTAAAACTTGTTAATAAAGTTAAAATAATAAGATTTATCTACTATGGCTAATATAGGAAAAAAAATATAATTTTTATATTTACGATATTTTGAGTTTAGAGTGTGATTATAAATAAATTATTAAAATATAGACGGAGATAAGCAACAAGACGGCAATGCCCTTCCGACTACCGACTTCGTAGATATTGAGTTTATAATTTACTATAGATTATTGACTTTGATTCATTGAAGATTTCAGTGTACCTACAAATAATTGCACATTGTTCAATAATATTCAATTAATTATTTATGCATGTCTAACAAAAACATTATCCCCAATACAATATCATATTTTACAATAAATAAGAATGCCATATTACTAGCAGATATTTATTATAATTAAATTTTTCCTCACTATGTTCATGAATTGTATTATTCTCCTCTGCTTTTTGTTGTTTAAAAATACATAGGTATTTTTAAATTTATAATGTGTAAATAATAAGCCATTTAAAAATATTATAATAACAGTATTTATTTAGTTAGTATGACTCCATCAAGATAGAAAAAGATGTCTTCAGGCAATGTTCAATTGGTTATAAAAATTTATTCATATAGTCTCAATTTAGCGATTTTGTCAGGTTAAGCTGTAAAGAAAATTATTATTATTATTATAGCCTCTTTATTTCCATAATGAATAACATATTAAACAAGTATATCATATGATTAATTATTACATAATATGTGCATGCATTAAAAAATACAATATTATTATTTATAATCTTTAAATTATATTCCAATCATAATTAATAATTTCAATGTATATAAGTTTGAAATGATAAATAAATTAATAAGAATCAAAAACAAAATTCATTTTTATAAATCATTATAAAGTATCATTAAATCGTTATGGACCCCTCTACGGGTAAAGGCCTCCTCCATTTTGCTCCACATCTGTCTGTCTTTTTGCTTTGGTGGTCCAGTTTTCACCAGCTTTTCTTTTTATTTCATCAATCCAGTTTTACTTTGGTCTACCTCTTAATCTTTTTGTTGGTTCTCGCCAGGTTACCCTTGGTGTCCATGCGAGCAGTAAGACCCGCCCAATTACATTTTTGTCTAAAGCGTCTATTATTTTGTTGTTTTCCTTATTTCTGTATTTCTCTTCCGACGTTGTCTTTGTATGTTTAGTAGACTCCTTTCCATCGTTCTCTGGCACACTTGTATTTCGTTTTTGGTGTAGTTATTGTAAATCCATGTCTGGAAGCCATATGTACGACAAGGTATTAAATATGAGTCCATAATTTTTTTCTTAAGTTTTAAAATTCTGATTTAAAGGTTTCTTTATTGCTCCAGGATTTATTCCAGGTTATGTTGACTCGTCTTTTAATCCAATCGTCGTGTCTTGTCTTTGAGAAAGATACTTGTTGACCCAGGTAAACATAGTTTTAAACATATTGTAATGTACTGTTATTAACCTTTATTGGAATAGTTTGGTGGTTCGTCATAATAATAATCTTTCATTTGATAGAAAAGATTTTGCATTGTAAGTGCATACATCGAAGTTTTGTAGTTGAGATGGAAGGTTGTAATCATCATCCCCCGCGGTGACCAGCCGTATTGGGAGATGAAGAGGGGCTTTCCTGTAAAGAAAGTATAATTATTTATATTATATGAATTAGTTAACGTATAAATTGAGTTTGTACAATTTGAAGGAATTAATTTTTATTATAGTTACTTATGATTTTAGAGTAATAAGTTGATTTGTAATATCTTTTGCAAAGCGTTTTATATCAGTAATTCACTTCGTTATAGGTATTTGTTTTTAATAAACAAATTTGTGAACAATACTTACCCCATACCATTATTTTATAAGTTAAACAATTTGTAAATATATTTATAAAACCGAAATTTTGTAAACACCAAAACATTGAAAGCTCCTATCAAAATTTGAAAGAAACGTTTAAAAATAATAAGTGTCAACTGTCATAGCACCAGAGAACTTTCCGTTTAAAATATATCAAAAGAATAGTTTTATATAAAATAAATATATATATTAAGACATAGTAGCTTATTGTGATTGATGAATTATTTAAAATAATTTTATATTTTATTTATTTTCATAGAAAAATCTGTCGAAGTAAGTTTGACAGTTTAATTTCTAAACGTACTCAGAAACCACAAACAAAATTATCGTTCTTTCATTCGGTCTTGCGATGCTAATACGTTTCAGCTTATAGGCGGTCATGGTACGAAAAAATGCTATTGACTTTAGGTACCTAAACTCCGCTGCATCTCAACTGGATTGTTTTAAGAAAGTTCATGGTAGGCCCCCAGATCCCTAACTTTACCCCAATCCTTAACACTCATATTATCAATCCATTTATTTCACGCCTATTTTTAACATAAATTCACCTTCAATCGGAACCATCCAATACTAAATGGTGAAAAGTGCACGAGTGTGAAGCGATTCAAGCGGAGGGGTTACCGAAGAATAACACGGAATTACGGGAACATGTCACCGCACTACACTGCGATGCACATGTTTCGACACCCTATACCGAAGCCAAAGGCAACGTAACACCCTCTCTTGGCTCTAACATGCTTTCTCTAAATCCTCAATCGTAGCACAAATTAACGATATTTAATGGTTGCCTTCGGTTTCGTGTAGGGCTGGCGCGCGTGGAGAGCGGCCGGGAGCGGGAAGTGAGGCGCAGCCCTGGAGTCGTGCGCGCAGTGGACCCGCTCGGGACCGTGGTGGCGCCACCCGCGGCCGCTACGCCCGAGCCCATTGACCCCGACGACTACACGAGAGCCAACGACGACGAGGCCACCTTCCGCCCGGTGGTGCGGGCTCCGGCCGCTCCGCTGCCCAGCATGCTCGTCAAGCCCCTGCCTATCACCACCACGATCCCCGTGGAGACCGTATCTCCTCAGGGCGACTCTCCTAACGAAGAACCCATCCCGCTGAAAACTGACGTGGTCATCCCGGCCCAACTCACCTCCGTGCCACCTTGGCAACCACGAGAACGTGAAGTCAGCTCATCCAGCGTCCTCATAGAATCCACCGGTGATACCAGCACTCGTAGAGATAATGAATTTCATGATATAAAGTTGGATGATAAACCTACTCAAAAAGATCTCGATAGTGTAAATGTGAGAAAGGATGATAGTATGTGTGAAAGGAATTCGACTCGACTCGAATTGGAAAGTGAAGATGTAAACACATCACTGCCAAAATTAAATCGATTGTCGGATGATATTCAGCCGACTTCTCGACCTAGAGTTAAGAAATCTCCCACCTCCAAGTTATTTAGTGATAGAGTAACTAGCGATAGTGGTAAAGATAAACGACTACCTGATAGTAAATTATTGCTCAGCGTTGAAAGCGGAACTTTAGAACCTACATATAAAGAGAAATTATCACAGGAAGCACTAAATTTTAAGACTAATATTACTACGGAAAAGTCCCTAAATAAAGAGAAAACACCAGAACCTGTGAAAGCAGTACGTAGTTATAGTAAATCTAAATCTGAAGTTAAGGAAACCAAAAGTAAAGGAACTACAGAAAAAAGGTATGATGAACTAAAACCTTCTACGGCAACTATGCCTGATAAAGAAAATAGTACTAAAAAGAAATCGTCGGTAAAAGAAAAAGAAATGAAAATATCTAAAGATGTTGATACTGAAATAAAAACTGAAGAACAAGCGTGGGATATGCTAGTGAACGAATCAAATAAAACAAAATTAGAGTCTTCAGATACTACGGTAGAAAAGTTAGATGATTTTAAGGTTAAAAATAAAAAGGGCCGGAAACCAAAGAAGATGCCAGAAGAACAACAGTCTAGTAAAGAAGATGATGACAGTTTTGTGGAAATACACGCCATTGAAGACAAACAAGAACCATCAAGTGGTGAACTAGTATCAATATCAACAACATTCGAAGATTTTGATTTATCTAAAACTAGAAAACGAGCATCGAAAAGTTTTACGCCTGAACGAAAATCAACCAACACAGACGAAGTTATGAAACTATCTGATAACGTTACCGTAAAATCCAAAGCAAAACCGTGTAAAAGCGACAAACCCGAAAGCTTTTCAGATTTTGAAACGCATTTTAAAACGGCATCCAATTTCGTTAAACAAAGTTCTAAAGACACTGTATACTTCAATTCTATCATCGAGCCCGATTTAACAACACTGGCAGTAAAAGAAATATCTAAATATCCCAAAAGTAAATCGCCATCTCCTAACCGTGATAGACGGATATCCGTTGAAAAACAAGAAGTTGAAAAGGAAGTATACGTGATCGATACTGTCACGGATGATTTTCCAGAAATTCAAATAACACAAGTAAATAAAATGCGTAAAAAATCTCCACAACCGATTGATAAAAATAATCAAGACGTAGAAAAGCCCTGTAAATCATGGAGTTCGATAGCTGCTAAAAAAGTGGATGACAAGAAGTATAAACCAGATGTAAATATAAATGACGATAATATCAAACCAAGTACTTCCTTGCAACAAAAATTAGCCGAATTATGCAAAAGAACAGATATTATGGTTGCTGAATGTGATGCGCCATCAGAGCTTAACTTTGTAGACGAACACCATGCGGTTTTACCGGATTTTCCACCATTGGAGTCTCTAGATTTTGGTTTGGATGACTTTAAATTAGACGTTATGAAGGATAGCCTTCTCGATGTCACGGATAAAATAACGAGTCCCATTTGTAAAATTAACATTGACGATATACTGACATCCATAAATGATACTAAGAAATCTGAAGAGTCCACTTCGTTCAATTTGATCGATGTCGAGAAGGTCCCGGCGAGAAAGGAAAAAGGTTTCAGCGTCCTTGAAACTGAAAAAATAACTTCCCAAGAGGTGCAAGCTGACGATGAAGTCAAAGAGAAATACAATGATTTAGAAAAATCGTCAGACGAAGATGCGGCTTCTCCAGTTCTGTCAGCGGATAGTGATAAAGAGGAGAAAAATGTTGCTTCGAATGTAACACTCCCATCTCCAAAGCAAACAAAATCGAAAAAATCGCGTAGAAAGAAGAAGTAACATATAGAAGTTGCCGTTTTAGGTTGCTTGTAGTTAGTAAATTCGTTCAATATTTACGTAAAGCAATCAATTCTGCGATTCTCTGTTCACAATAAGTAGCTAAATATACTTCAACTAGTTTTAAGATATAATGTCGATTTAAAAATTATATAAAAATAAAAAAAACGTAGGAAAAATAAAAAAAATATCAAATCTCCGAGAAAATTGACTTAGAATCTTGTTTATTTTAGATTATAACAAATTTTTATGTTTCCATAATATTATTAAATTGACGAGGAATCTGTTAGAACCAAAAGCACTTAAATATTTTTTATCGAAATGTATTATGTATTTATATTTTTAGAATGAATTTTTGACTAATACTTTATCGTTATTTTGTGACGTGCTCCTTTAGTGCATAATAATTAAATTATTTTGTATATATTTTAATGTTATTTTTTACAATGTTTACTAAATTTTGTTATTTATTTTGTATTTGAATAAATTATGTGCTATAGTGCGTCAGTATTATGTTAAAAATACGACTAACGGTATCGAATACCAATCTTAATTACTTAAGGCAACATAATTCTGTTCTTTCAAGGAAAACATTGTTTGACTATAAATAATATAAAAATTCAACATTTAGGGCGATTCACGTACGTAGTAGCAGCGAAATATTGTGTTAAACTTCAAATTTGATATCGCCTCATAGTCCTTAAATCGCTTGAATCTTGCTACTTACCTTAGATATAGCACAAACACACAAGAAAATACCGATATGATCGTAAAATGCGTAAGGCGGCATAGCTTAAAATTTGTTGGTGCATAATTAAATTAAGAAAATCGCCCAATTGAAAACATTGTGTACAGAATTACACACTCTGAGATCCTTTTTACGGGTTCTAACAAGATATTCTTTATATTTACATGATCTTAATTTCTAATACTTTAATTATAATCTACAGTCATTCGTGTATTAATTTTGATGAACAACTCTCTTAGTTAAACGTTCGTGTGACTAGAGTGGGCATGCACAGGTAAACAAAAAGTTATATTAATGACAAGGTTTCGTTAGACTGGTAATACGTATGCATTGTTCGACAGCTCATTTATTGATTTACGTCAAACAACCTTTCTGTCAAAAATTGTAACATACGAGGTGTCGAGAAACCTTAAAACCATGTTCGTACTGTATACGTGACTGTCCATACTCGACACACTATCAGCGGTAAAACATATGTATATCCAATAGAGAGTTTTTACCTAATTCGTGTACATCAAAATTAGACATTAATTCATGACAAGTACCTTAATATAAGTTAAGTTTAAAAGACCTCATATGAAATAATTCTATTGTAGGCTATTAAGTAGCACCTAATGAGTACCTGTATGTATTACGTATACCGTGACGTATTTATTTAAATGAGATTTTATCAACATACACTGTAAGTAATCTTTGTATGGCACGTAACTTGGTACATTACGAGGATAAGTCTAAGAATCAAGTAAGAATATTAGCAATACGTAAAAAAGGAATTTGTAATCTGACGATTACCCACTTACGTGCCGGGTACAGAGGATAATACGAGGAGTATATGCTTATCAAAACCCTGTTTAACACTATTCGTTTCGATTCTCCGTTTAACTTCGATAGGATTCCAATTGTCAAAATGGCGCTAAGAAAATTGAACTTTAAATTGTCAAGATAAAGTTCATGATCGCTAACAACTTAGGGCAGGACATTTGATACTGTTCTTTAACAGTTGAAGTCCTATCGCTGCTAAAATAAGAGAATCTAGTTCCAAGACTGATACAACCACAAAATAGATAAATAAGGTTGGAGGCATTGGTCGAAGTTCGTCTTAGAACAGCTTCAACCTCGCAGTCGCAGCTTAACACGGTTAGATACCCTTTCATACTTATTTATCTAATTCATGGATACAACAAATCGAAACATGGTATCGTAAAATGTGCATAAAGAAAAAAAAGACAATTTCTATATATCGACAATTAAAGCAGTCTTGATGTTAAACTCATGGGTGTATCCTGCTATTTAATAATTAAAAAATATTTTGCATTATTGATTTAAATGTTAATAAAACGCATAAATTTTCTTCCAATACCTAATCCTAAGATCAAATGCTTTAGATGCGTAATGAAATGTTTGACCTAACATAATTTATAAAGTTGGATAAATTATAAAAGTTTTGGCTATATTGTGTGATTTGGCAGACGTGTTGAAATTAATCGAAAATAAAATGACTATTCAAAAACTGTATATTTTTTTATTTTTCTCTGATATTTTAAACAGCAATTATGGTAGGGGAGCCCACGATGCTAAATGGGGATTTACTCGAGCGTCGTAGAGACCTATTGGGATGCAAAGCTTAGATAATAAGAAGAAAAAAATGTTATATGATATATACCTTTTCATCGGTGGGGGAAGCGGCTATAGATTGTTAAATATGTAAAAAAAAACTGTTGCATGGACATCCTCGAGCGCGTCAGATATTGATAGCATCAATGCCCTACGTATTTTTAATAATGTACGTATGTTAATCTGATCGTTTGCATGATGCGGGTGGTTGTATTTAAGGGTTGAAAATGAAAAAAAATAAAAATTATCGAGCGCGTCAGATTTTCTAAGGGAGTGTTAAGTGCACCAATAAAAAGCTCTCATTCACTAATCTGACGATTTCGATGGGACGCAAACCCACGGCCATTTTCATAATTTGCAAAAAAAAACGCAATTTTGAAATACTCAAGCGCGTCAGATTAAGATATATGTGGTTCATCTTTATGTTCTAAACGTACTGTCTCATAATCTGACGATTATCTAGAGGGATTCGCCTGATCTGACAAAAAAAATTTAGAAAAACGGTTCACCTAAAGGGCCATCCCTGCAACTTCCCGCTAATTCCATTCCTGGGCGCTTAAAATTGATATTTTGAGCTCGCTGAGTTCAAAGAAATAATATTTCTATGCATTTGAGCTCTCCCAGCTCGAAAGTCTGATAGAAGTTTCATAGAACACTATTTTTGGAATTTTCAAACCGCAATAACTTTTGAATGGATCAAGCAATTTTCACGCGGTTGGCGGCATTCGACGCAGTTTTATCATCCTCATATGTAATTTTGCAATTTTAATTGATCGAACCACAAATTTCGGAGTAATCCCGAAAAAACACTTTTTCGGGTTTCTTTCGTTCACGATATCTCTCGAACGAATCAACCGCTTTTGACCAGCTTGGTGGCGATCGACGTGGTTTTTCAAGCTCAAAGGCGGATTAGTTTTTGAAGTTGATCGATAAAGAAACCACTTTAAAAAAAATATTTCTTATTTTTTTAAGATTTTTCAAAATTTCTCAAAATCTATCGGTCCGAATCGGTTCAAATTCACAGGAAATGTAATTTTGAGGGAAATATTTAGAACGCCGTTTAGTAGATTCCGATCGGTTTAAGGAAATGTAGGCATCACGCAGCTGCACGCATTTAACTTTATCGACGAATTTTTGTTATTTCGGCTTGCGGAAATCGTCAGATTATATATTTTTCATTATTCTTGAATTATTTCCTTCAAAATAAAAAAAATTTTAGCTACGCTCGAGAATGTCGAGATGACGTTTTTTTTACAACTTTGTTGCCCTCCCCTTTTTTACGTCACTTTCAAATTGTCAGATTAGTGGAATATACACTTTTTAGGATGTAATTAATTAATTGACGCGCTCGGGAATTTCTGATGGTCAATTTTTTTTACTAATCTGATCCTGTCTCCTTCACGGGCGGCCTTATATATGGGCCTCATATTTTGTGGAGGTACTTAACCGGGTACAAGGTATCCCCCTATATATTAATCTGCCGCGCTTTAGTAAATCCCGAAATCCCCTCTTGGGCTCCCCTACCATTATATATATTCGTAATTTATATTGAAAGTCAAAAGTCAAAGTCAAATCATTTATTTCAATTAGACCATCTAAAATGGCACTTTTGAACGTCAAAAAAAATACAAAGAAGATTCTAGTTGCCCCTTCCAAAAGGTAGTTTCGTGTGGAGAAGAATGGGCAAGAAACTCCACACTTACTCTTTTTAAAATAGGTTTACAATATTTTGTTACATTTGTTAAATAATTATATGTGAAGACAATGTACTCTTAGAATAAACTACTATACTAAAAAAAGTATACATGTTCCTCACACATTTACAAATATCGAAACCGTAGAATATTAACATTAAAGAGTAATAAAAATATAAAAAAAACACAACAAAACAGTGTGTGAGATACAATAAAATATTTACATTTGTAGCATTATAAATTTAAAAAAAAGAAATAAAAATATGTTAAAGCAAAAAATCTCTATGATTGTCCTATGGAGCGGGACCAGCATGTTTCCAAGCATTCTTATCTTGAATATAATCATCTAATGACCACACCACTGCAATAGGAACGCCCTGAAATATTAATCGCACAGGAAATTTATTTTCATCTTTGACAAGTACTAGTGTCCCAGAAACACGGTTGATAAACAAGTATTACGATTCATCATCAGATTTTTATTTTATTATTATAAAATTGGATTTAGCTCAAATCGAATTTGTTACGGAATGTGGCCTTTATGGTAAACGCACCTGGTGTCATGTAGGCAATTATTTGATAAACCCGATGAATTTTATAGTTTCAATTTAGTCTGTACAAAACATCTCTACGTAGAAATTTTTCTTCCAGTTACAAGCCGTTTCGAAGCAGAACCAGAGGAGCTAAGCTCGAGTAGCTTTAGTTCAGCCTCCAGGGCCTCCCTTGACCCGCCATCTTCTCCGACGCCAAGCTGCAGTGGCGATAATTTAATGCACTTTCCAGGTGACTCCAGTAGTTCTCTCTGAGGTTTGTGCTGTACGCGCTGGATAAGGACCAGACAATGGCACGTTTGGAAAACATCTTAGACTAAATTTGGATAGAGTTTTTATGAAACTGGAAGAGTTATGCTTGTTTTCACTAATTTCTAAAGATTTGCCTAAAATTCT